TCCTTTTCTTCTTCATCATAGGCACTCACAGGACACAGTCAATGGAGGAAAAGCCTATAATCTTTTGCATTTTGTCACTAAGGCAATCAAGTGTTAGATTATGTAGCTACAACAGTGATTCTGCAATATTAGGTATTGCTGAAAATCATCCTAAATTTTAAGGGAAACTTAAAATTACTCCAGCTTCCACAGAGCAACAAGAAAAATTCCTACGCGGATATTGTTTGGTGATAATATAACCCTTCAGAGACGTAAAGCAATGCTTTTGTTGACGCCAAAATTACGGACCTCTCCTCACAAGCAAATGGCTCTGTGCATCGACACATAAAGCCTTCCACAAAGTTTCAGGGGAATTCCTGAGGCTGTCTGGGGACGGGTACGTGGAACAGGAGACCAGCTTAGGGGCTGCCATGTGGGGCTGAAGGTCAAAGGCCAAACCCAGGACTAGGGCTGCACTCGCCCAGCCTTGCCAGCGATTTTGTTTTCAAGTCTGTGCAAGGAAGCCTCTCTAGCTCAGCCTGGTCCCTGCCCTGCTGAAGATGGGGGGCTATGCCTGCATTTATAGGAGTAAATACCTGGCCACGTGTGTCATTTTATATTCCATTGTAATCTGATTGAAATAATATCTAAAAGCCAGATGCTGGCACATTAAAACCCTCCTTCAACCCCGTTGTCCTAGGGTTAAAACAGACCCAGCAGCATGAATGAGATGTGTCTGAGCCGGTCCTGACCCTGCTCGTTCCAGAAAACTCCTCGACGAGTGTGAAATGATCAGAGCAAGCTCTCTGCCGGGCCCTCCCTGTTTGCGTGAGGGCGTGACGCAGCCTGGCGGCTCCTCACTGGCCCTCTGAATCACCTCTGCTGGAAGCGGATGGCCGTCCGCACCCTGACAGCCGAAACGTGAGCATCAGGGAACTGGTCACGTCACGAATTAGCATTTTCCGTAATCAAGTACTGGGACATGATAAACCTCAATCTGGTACAGGATCTGAGTACATCCTATTTGTATTGATTTCCTCTTCTCACTCTCATCAGTTTTTCTACTTTTCCTGCCTTGACAGCAGACACCCATAATCATGTTTCAGGGGTACACACTTGACTTCCCAGGCAGCCTGCTCTCTCAAGCTTCTCAGCTGGAGAAACCAGACTGGCGAGTGACCTGTCGCTTCACCCTTCTGGTTTTCCTAATGAGGCGGGCACCCCACACTCCACCCCCGAGATAGTTCTTTCCGGGGTTATGGCTCCACAGCCAGACTAACAATTACCCCCCAAGAAGCCAGAACTACAGCTGCCTGCTCCATTTCTCCCGGAGGAAACAGCGGCACGAAGCTGGGGCTGGGGCTGCGGAGCACTGCGGCTCGGGCTGGAGGGTGCCTCTAGGGCTTCCTCATTTTAGAAACATGGAAATATGGAGGCCACAAAGGTGGGCAGTTGTACGGACTTGCTGCTTTTGGGGAATGGAAAAAGTGAGGGGGAGAGGGTTACTCATGGTACACATTTTTTCCATTGATAATTTTACTTAACGTATGTCATTTCCCTGGAAAATTGAGGGGGGAGGGTATTTTCTTTTGAATGCCTTCAAACATTTGCAAATGGTTATTCTGAACTCCCCAGTGTACCATACACAAGTGTAAACTGTAGAAATTCAGCAAATGTACAAGCAGGTATCCCCCAAGCTCCAGGGCAAGGACACAGAAGGGAGTATTCCATCTATAAATGGAATTCTTTATGGACAGAAGAGTTTGGAAATCAGTTATACATTGTTTTCCTCATTATTTGGGGGGATTTTTTCCCCAGCTTACAGAAGCTGCAGAACTGATATTTAGAGTCTTCAAAGTTGAAGATTACAAGAAGTTTACAACCTTTGAAAATCTTCAGCTAAACTTAATTAGTTCTGCATCTAGGAAAATATCTGTCGAAATCATTTGTAATCATATCAACAAACAGGAACGCGTGAAGTCAGGTAACTGGGGACACTAGAACCTCAAAATGGAAAAAGCACTGTGATTTGCCAAGAACTTGCAGATACACGGACTTCTCTGAAGACAACTGTAGCTGCCTGCATTATTGATTTCAAGATACAGTCTGCTTTGAATCTGCTTAAAATGATGAACAACAACAGTCACACGGCATGAGAATGGCCGGCACGGTGAAAGAACGGAGAGCCCCCACCGCAGTACTGGCCGGCTTTCCCCGGAGAAACAGCATCGTGAGTCACCAATACGCACATGGAGCACATGGAGGGATCCCCCAGCACACCTCACCACCACAACTCAGCCCAGGTTTGGTTTCGGCTTGTGATTCTTTCCCCTTTGGCTTTAACTCGTCACCAAACAGCGTTCACTCTCTGGGCACGAAGGCCATGCAGTCCTTTAACTAACGGGTGCATTTCCAGTGTCTGCAACCACGGGAGTAGGCAGGGTAAGGCACAGAGGAAAGACAGCACCACGTGTGCCCAGAAAATGAGGACGGGTCAGGGGTTGTGGGTGAATGACGGCAGGGTGGGACTGGGCGGGGGGTGGCCTGAACTACCGAAGACAAGCAGAAACATGACTTAGTGCCAATCTTAAATCGCTTGCCTCGTCACCCTGCTGTAGCTGGCAAAGCCTGAGGGCCTCTGACTTTAGAGAAAAGCTGTAATTTCTTGGGGAACCGTCGTAAACAGAGCTCTCCAATCTGAAGGAACTATGCACAATTTTGTCACTGCATCTTTGGAAACTGGCTGAAGCCAGGTTACTATTTTTAGTAACAGCTCTGATCCTCATAGGAGACCCCAGCCTGCTTCTTTATTCAGAAACATAAATCATCCAAATAGCCATAATATAGTTCATGCTTTTATGTTCTTTAGGCCCCATGATACTTATGGGCCAGTGGCACTACTCTTGATCTAGTCACTTCTCACTCCAACAATGGTAGTGAAACCCTTCACCCACCCACCCCCCATTCTTCTTTTAATTTGAATGAGTGACACTAGAATATATCTAAAATTACAATTCCCAGTGCTTTCTGGCTTTCTAAAAGCCATCACTTCTTTGTCCCACATCTTCCCATTACTTACTGCTTTACATTAAATTACTCTGGTGGAAAAGTCAGGGGTATTTTCAATTGAGGCGACTATGAGAAGGGTGAGTATGTCGGTCTCCAAACAGCAGAATTTGCAGATGTAAAATCAAGAAGGAACAGTGAGCTGATTTTCAGTGTCCTGCTCCTGCCGCAAAGCCCGCAGTGGAACGGGAGGCCGCAAACTACGGTGGTGAAAAACCCGCCCGGCGCCACCTAGCGGGCCCCCTGCTCTGGTTCTGTTCTTCTCGAGCAAACTTCTGGCTGCACATGCTTGGTTGGTGCCCGTGTAAACACGGCAGCTCAGATGCAATCATTTGCGGTTGATGCTGAAGAGCCAGGACTGAACACAGTAAAAAAAATTCACAAGAAAAGGACAACACTGTCTAAACACTTAGAGAAGATGGAAGGTAGGCTTCACTCTTGTCTAGGAACTTTGCCGAAGACAAAGACGGATAAAAGAATTTGATCAAGTAGGGTAATCAAGGGACCAATTAGCCTGTTCTATAGTGGAAAATGTAGCTCTGGTGTCAGCCTGCATTTGAAAGCTGACTCTGCTTACTAACTTGGTCAACTCTGGCAAGTTACTTAATTTCTGGGTCTATTTCCTCATCAGTATAATGAAGACACAAGCAATTAACTGTATGGATCTAGATCTGAGTAAGTGCTAATAAAAAAAAACTCAGAAGAGGGCGCATCTCAACATGAGTTCTTCTTCCTACAGGGTCCACCCCTCTACCTAGCGTCCTTGCTCCCGGGGGCTCACCTCCCCACCAGACGGTGAGTGCCATGGACGGCCCTGAATCGTGCTCACCTCTGTGTGGAAGGAGAGGTGCCCGAGGGAGGCGCTCAGTAAACGCCCACTTCTCTTCCTTTCCTCTCCACAAACAGTTGATTCACTGAACATTAGCCTGTGGGCTGCCCTCTTGGAGAGAGGGGAGAGCTTGGGCCCTGGGTCTGGCAGGCTTGGGTTGAATACTGGTTCCCCCACGTACCAGCCCTGATTTGGGCAATGCCTCCTCCTTGGTCAGAGGCAGACGATGCCTTTTCCGCCAGCTGGTGAGAGGACCGAAGGAGGCCACCACTGGCCAGGTGGGGGTGCCACACATGCTACTTCCCCTCTGAAATTCTGGACTCATTTTCAATGGCTCACCTGGCATTAAGCAAGATGCCCCGCTGAAGTCAGAGATGTGAACTCACCCAGGTCAGCGGTGTAACCATTCTCCCTGCCAGCGCCCGCCATGGTCTGCAGAGGTGAGCCGCCCACCAGCTAAGCCACTGAGCCTCAAAGGGGAGAAAGCAAAGGCCTCGGGGACTGCCGGGCCCGCCCTGGGGAACACCGTTCGGTGGCTAGATGAAGGAAGAGGCCCCTGAGCAGGAGCTCGGAGCCACTGCTGCAACACCTGGCCAGGCAATGGGGCTTGGTGGCCTGCATGTGGCTGGCTTACAAGCACGTAAGAAGGTTGGTTTTTATTCTCTCATCTTGCAAATGGCATCTTGTGACTGCTGAGAAAATCTGGTGAGTTGGGACATTCTGCCAAGGGGTCTACCAGCTGCAGGAAGCGGCCCAGCTCACCTTCACCGCAGCCCCGTAACCTCACGACTGGACATTTTCAGGTCCCAAGTAATCTCTCCTCTCTCTCTTCCTCAACAGGGTGAATCACAGAGAAGAACACGAGGCCGAAATTAAATGAGTTTCAAGTCAGGTTCAAGGCTGGTTAAGTAAGCGACCGACGTTGGGCAGAGCCACTTACATGCGGCGACAGCTTCCGCGGGGCTGAGACGGGGAACGAGGCTGCATTAGAGTGATGGCCGCGTGCGACCGCACAGGTGTACTGCGCGGCGGGCGGGTAAAACCGGGGCTAGCCACACAGCCCTGCTCCCCAGCCCCGGGCGCGGCGATGGGGGTGCACTGGCCGTGCGGAGGTGGGCGTACAAACCTTTTACTTATTCTGATTTCTAATCCGGAGGCACCTCCGTTTGAGCGGAGGCTCCAGGTCCTCGGGCCCGGCGCCGAGCGCGGGCGCGGAGACGGCGCAGGGCGCCAGGGCGGCCTTCTCGGCGGGCTTGGGCACCGGCTGGATCACGCAGCCCGCCTTGGGCAGCATGCGCAGCGCGTACGCGTGGTCCTCGTCCGCGGGGTTGTTGAGGCCGGGGTCCGCCTCGCCGCCGCCCTCCAGGGCCTCCTCCGCCACCAGCTTCTGGGCCGCCTCCCCGTCCCGGCGGCCGCCGGCGGCGCACGTGTTCTCCTTGACCGACTCCAGCTCGCTCACGGCCGGCTCCTCGGGCGGCGCCGGCCTCCTGGAGGGCGCGGGCGGCGGCGGCGGCTCCGCGCCCTTGGCGGCCTCAGCGGCGCCGCGCGCGCCGTTCACGATGACGTTGCAGGCGGCGGCCGCCTCGGGGCCCGCGGGGGCGCCGGGGCCCGGGTCGCCGGCGGCGGGCGGGCTGCAGTGGCCGTCCCTGCAGCCGCCGCGGGTCCTGCGCTCGGCCGCGCCCGCCTCGCGCTCCGCCTGGCCGTGCGCGTGCAGCGCGCGCTGGATCACGTTGCGCAGCCGGGCGCGGTGACGCACCGTCAGGTCGATGACGCCGTCGGGCGGGCCCTGCGGCGCCCCCGGGGGGCTGCGCGCGCGCCGCGTCAGGTCCACCACGGCGCCGCGGCCGCGCTCGGACGGCGCCAGGCTCAGCGCCTGGCCGGAGCCGCCCGGCGGCGAGCCCGCGGGCTTGGACGGGCCCTGCTTGGGGTCCCGGGGCGACAGGGAGTGTCCGCCCGCCGCGCCGCCCGCCGCCGAGGAGTCGCCGGGGGCACTCGGGACGCAGCTCTCGCCGTTGCTGGAGAAGCCGTTGGGGGGCTTGGCGTCGCTGACGTGCGGGATGGGGATGGGGATGGGGATGGGCACGGGCAGGGGCACGATCACCGGGTACGGCACAAGCAGCGTGGGCGGCGGCACGAGCGGGGCGAGCGACGGCAGCCCGAAGTTCAGCATCTGGGGCACCGGCATGGGGCCGTTGGGCATCATGCTCACCGGTGGGAAGGGCAGACTTGGCAAGGGTGCGCCCGGGGGCGGAGGCGGCAGCAGGCCCGCGGGGTTCCCCGGCATGGTCGGGGTGCTGGGGGCGTGGATGTGCGGCGAGAGCATGGGCCGGTGCATGGGGCTGGAAGTGGGGCCCAGGTTTCTGGGGCCGCCCGGCGGGGGCCCGATGCCGGGCAGCATGGGGTTGGACAGAGGGCTGTTGGGGTTGGAGGCGTGGTGCGGCGGCCCACGAATGAAGGGCGGCCGGATCTGCTGCATGATCTGTTGCTCCATGAAGATGGGCAGTGGCACTGGGCCGCGGTTGGTCATCACCATGGGAGGACTGCGAGGTGGCACGCCGAGGGGAGGCCCGATGCCGGCAGGTGGCTGCACGGAGACGGGAGGGATGTTTGGCGTCTCGCTCAGGGCCATGGGCTTGGGCACTGGCGTGGGGATTTTAGTGGCAGAGCAGTTGGCAGTGTCAGATGGAGAGACGGCGGTGGACGACGATGGGCCAGGGCCCTGGCTTTGGCCAGCCACAGCCACCGGGGAGGGGGCCTTCCTCCGAGCATCTGCTAGAGGGATAGTCCAAGAGTCTGGAGTGAGCAGCTGCACCCCGGAGCCTTCTGCTTTGTTTTCCATGGGAGGATGTAATGTGCCGCACAGCCCAGCTGGAAGATTGGCCTGCGTCTCTTTGTAGAAAATGTCCATTTTGTATTGATTGAGACATTTTGCGCTGCAGAACTGAAGCCTTCTCTCCCCGTCCCCAAAATCCAGGTATTCTTTTGTGTGTCTTATGTGCTTACACCAGTCACACACCTACAACACAGTGACAAAAAAGGGAAAAAGTAAGATGAGCTCTTTCCTTTGGCAGACAGCGTTTCAGGTTTCACATAAAGGTTCTTTCAAACTTGTATCACAATTTTTCCAACAGGCTGAAGTGTTTCTTTCTAGATGGTAAAATTCTTAAGGGTTTCTGAAAAATGATTTCTTCTTGGAAGTCGAATTGCTTTATAAATATCAACTCTTCAGAATAGGAATTATCAATAGGTAATAGATAATGATCATAAGCATGCCTTAAAGGTGGATCTGACAAAAAGGAATAGATACACCTGCCCACATACTTTCACTTGTCAAAGAGGCTCATTGCAAATGCAAATTTAAATAGTTTTGGAGAAAGGATTCTCCAGAAAGTTCAGTGGGCTTTGAAATATAGCCTTTTAAAATTCTCCTCATGCAAAGTCACTTTACACCATTGACTGTGCTTGATAATGTGATTGGAAAGGGTGTGTGTGTTAACCAGTAACAAAGCACTGAACATCATTATGTCTGGCTTCCAAGGGGAAACTTGGAATTAGTCATGAAGTCTGTGTGAGGTTTAGCTATTCCCAGCCTGTGATGTTGCAGCAAGCTAGAATTATTTTTTGAGCTGTTTGCCCACTCTCTCTCAGTAGTCAGAATTTTTGGTGACATTTCTTGGCAGGCAGTCTTATTTAACAACTTTTCAAACACCAGAGAACGTTTTCCAAAAGTTGTTATGGCTTTATCCCCCCTTTAGATCTACTCCTGGCAAAAGAAAGACATCACCAAATTTATTTTAAAGTTGGGCTGCAGAACTAATTAAAGGCTGAGAGCTTTTCCCAATTGGAAATCACTAGACATCAAAGTTCAAAAAAATAGTCATTCTCGGTTTCAGAACCCATTACTTTGGAGAAATTATTGTGATTTCATTAACACATTAATTTTGCAACACCATCAGCTCTCACAGATGGTGAAGACATGATCTACAATTCAAATATGACTCTTGTTTGCACAAATGTCTTTCCTTCATATGGCATTTTAAACAAGAATTAATATGAGTAATCTTGCCATAGCTATAAACAGATAAACAGATGTCAAAATTTTCAATAGTTCTTCAGTGCCTTACTTTTTTGACTGAACATTATACGCAAAATCTTTTTTTCTTATTTTTTCTTTTTGATTTTGGTCATTTCCTCAGCTCTCAAAGCATATGGCAGCACAGGAAGAATTCTGAAACACACTGTCATTGTGAGTTCATTGAATTCAAGTCTCCCCTCAGTAAAGCACTGGATCCTGGGTTGCTCTAAATGGAACCTGTTTTTGTTGAGGAGGGCGTCTATTCTGTTGATGGGTGGTGGTGTTTTTTAAATATTGTAAACTGATACCATGATAAGATGATAACTTTTAATAACGATTGGTCACATCAACAATGCAAAAACAACATATGCTGGGCATTTCATTAGCCATCTCATTTAACTCTCAGCTTTCCTTGGATTGCAAACAGTGGTGGCGTGCTGGTAGGTGACTGTACACGTGCACACCCGTGGCAGATGTGGCTTTGTGTGTATAAGCCCACTTCTTCCCTTCTTCCTTTTTTTCCCCACTGATTTTTGTAGGTAAAATACCTGATGGTGTGAGATTGAATAACAAATACTTATTGGCACAAGTCAATTTTTTGTTTGGTCTCGTATCAAAATTATCCTTGCAAAACACTTCTCACACACAAAAAAATTTCAATGCAAATTAATATACTCCTGTGTTTTGCTATAGTGTTTCAGGTTTCTCCAGAATTACAGAAATTTTGTTATTATAGTTAGATGTCTAGTTTACAAATAAGTGCAAAATTGCCTCTGATGAGAAGAGGCATATAGAATCCATCAGACCCTCAACATTCTCATACAAAGTTTAAATGAACTAACTAGTAGTGAAAACTTGATACATGTAAATTATTATTTTTAAAACCTTATCATTTTTATAAAGTTAATACATAATGTGACATTGAAATTCCAAAATGAAATAAAGCCACCTGATTCTGTTTCAATACTAGGCATCCATAGAGACCCTAAAATGTAAATTTATAACCTTGAAGTGAAGGGTCAAATATAGCTTCTTTAATCATGAACGAAAAAGTATTATCAATATATTAAACTAATTAAAACAATATACCAAATTTTCTGGCATGTTTCTTTTGGATCTTATTTTTTAACCATAAGGGGAATGAGTATTCTGAAATCCTTAATTGGTTTTTAAATTGCCAGATTGAGTCATTTGCCTCCAGAGGATTCCTCTGTTTCCTCAAGCTAAATAAATACTTTCAAGTGGAGTCACAAAAAGTAATTTAAACATAATTGAAATGTTCTCCCTTCACTTCCTGTACCTTCAGTACTTCACTGATGAATAAGAAATATTCATAGATCTATCTCAATTATCAAGTGAGAATCTCTACCATATTCTATCTATTTCCACAGAAAAAGAATTATAGATATCAAAGTTCAAAGCGGAGCTCTGTTTCCGCAGACCTCCCAGCTCAAGCAAAGGCTCACTGGTCAGCTACCTGATTTTCGGCAGCAACCCAAAGTGTTCCGGTGACAGTGTGACAGTTCACGACCATCTCGTTTTGGGTAACCTGAGTGGGAAAGTGTGTGTTATCCTCGCCTCCTTGTGTTTTAATGCAGAACACCAATCTGAAATCACAGAAAGGCAATCTTTCCAAGGAAGCAAAAAATTATTAGAGAAAAAAATTGTCACTTAAGAAGTAATGAATCAAGTCTGACTTACAAGACACATCATTTAAGATGAGGTCAATGAATTTATGGTGCAAATAGCTACATCATGTGAGGCAGCACCCATCATTCATTCGATATCGAACTAATGTCACACTTCTAGTAATTAAAGATTTCATCACAAGCGCCTGAGCTGATTACTTAAGATGTGGTAGTTGGGTGAAAATATATACTGTAGATGTCTCTCCGTAATAAAACAACATTTGCATATCCATGAAATACACAGCACATGTCTCAGAAGCTATGGTTTTCTGAATTGTGGTGTTCTGGAGTATTCTTACCGTCTTTTTCCACAGACGGCTTTCCTTTTTAATTTTGGGGGGCATTATTTTTTGCTCATTATGCCAAGAAGCACCAAAATTCCTTCAGGTATTTTAAAAGGTGAAGACAGAGAAGTGCAGAGCTCAACTCGCTGGATTCTGGAATGATTTCCCCCTAATTCCACCCCGGCTTTGTTTCTGCTGGAATTTGGCCTCTCTGGTTCCACTTCTCTCCCTAACGGGTCCCAGACCAGATAGAGCTGAGGCTGAAGCTATAGGACGATGGTCATATGGTGACTCGAACAACCAGCAAATGCGGTGCCACTGAGTGAGACAGCTGAAATGCTTCGTATCACAAATACATAATGTATCGCCAGGAAGACAAAAAGATCACAAAGGAGATAAACGAATGCGTATCCCATTCAACCCTCTAACAGCAGTCCTCAAAAAGATTAAATTTACTTTCCTGGGATGTGTCCAATTCTAAACAACAGAATGAACATTTCCTTTAGTCCATTTAGAGTATTTATATTTTGGTGGCTGACTGCCAGGGTAGTACTTATAAGCTCAGTGGCCTGATGGATTCACTCCTTTCCTGTGAAATGAACGTGTAGCAACATACACCGCTCAACTGCTCAAAGGACACTGCCTCAGCAGAAACATCACTTGCTCTTGATAGAGGAAAACTGAAAGGCAGGATTTCTGGTTCCTGTAACTCTTTCCATCTTCTATATCCCCTGGAAAGAAAGCAAGCTATTCATGTTGGCAACCGAGCCTTTATTTTTATATAAATGTCCAAAGTCAAAGCCAAAGTATGCCATGAGGTTACCCACATGGGCACAATATATACATTCTGCTGGGCTTAAGATTCGGGGAGGGGGATGGGTACTAATTAACACATTAATCAGCTGTCTGTCGGCTGTGGGAGTGAAGTTCATCCTTTAATGGAAGCCACCACTGCCTTCTGAATGGTAATCTGGCAGCAGGCAGTATTTAATTAAGAGACCCTTTTGCTGAAATCTTTCTCATTTGGGCAGACATTTGCAACAATAGGACAGTGAAAAGATAGTAGCAATCCCTTGAACGCCATCCACAATTTGAAAGACAAAGCAAAATAGCAAAATCTACACGTGCTCCCAGCTTCACACGAACGCAGCACCCAGACAACAGAAGTCATGGAGGTGTAAGCAAAATCGTAGCTTCCGTGAGACCTCCAGGTCTTGGCCTGTCCAATGTGGCATTAATTTGCAATCCAGGCCAGCTCAAAAATATCAGAGGCTCACCTGAGAGCAAAGTAAGGGAGGATGGAGAGACGTGGGCAGGGGTGATCGGTGTTTTGACGGGTTCAGGGTTCCACTCTACCTGTCGTTAGCCACCTCCCAGCATGAGCTCAGAGCCTCGGACTGACCCCATGGGATGCTGGCTTCCAGCTGACCCTGGAGTCCCAGGTCCCAGTATCACCACCTCCATCAGGGCCTCAGTGCGGCACAGTTGGGCGGCCAAGGATGCTGGGATGTTAAGCTAGAGGAGGTAGGTTTGAGTCTGGGCCCCATCACTTACTAGCAGTGCAACCTTATGAAAATCTCAGCTTCAATTTCTTCATCTGTGAAATGGAGCTAATCGTAGTAACACCACCTGTGTGCCAGGCAGTTCACTAAGCTTGTGGCATAGCATATTTTTCAGTCCCTAGCCCAACTCCTACGTGGTTGCTGACGTCCCAGGAATATGCCATATGTTTCAGTTTATTTTAACTTAATGGGAGGATGTTTCTACGGCAGTATGAGGAGAGAAAGGGAAATGTTCACCCATAGCTTTCTCGGGAGCCCATGCATCTGAGGTGGAGTGGAGCATGTTGCTCTCTGGGCCAATGCACGCCTCACCTCACAGGCAGCAGCTCCCCACCTTGCTTCCTAGGAGGCTGCCCCAGGGGAAGCGGACGGACTGGCTGCAGCGACAAGGAGGTAAGCGACAAGGG